TCGACAAGGTTTTATCATCATCACCTTGTGACGCACAATGTACCTGATGATGACAAAACCTTGTCGAAACGTTGTACATTTGCTGTTATGTTAAACATATATTAAAGTTTTTCTTCATTACCCATTCAAGCCGTCTCCAGCCGTTATTAGTCTCAAAGTGGGTTCCTCGTCATCGAAAAAGAAATAGTTTCATCACCTTTGCTACTTAAAATGTACATTAGTCATGAGGTTAGGATTTATTTTTCAGTTTTTAGACACTATTTTGCTAGTACTAAATGTTTTCTAATAAAGTTAATTTTTTTTTATTAAATATGAGTTTTGTGGCTGGTTAGAAAGAAAGCCTTAGAAGATATACTAAAAGGCTCAATTTTACTTGAAATAAGTTCTACGATTTGTAGTTCTTGTAAATTTGATGTAATTAAAGTAGAGGAGCTGGACTTCTTGACTTAAATTTGTTTCTGTTCTGTTAAGTGTTTGTTTATGAATATGTTAAAGGAAACTGAATTGGTAAGTAGACATTGCAATGATAGTTTTTGACTAAATTCAGTTTCAATACAAAATTACAAATGAACTAAATAAAGGATTATCGTTATGTTAATAGTTTTTGAATGTGTAGGTCATCCTTTGTTTCGGGATCACCGTATGTACAAAACTGTATGTGGGCTATGCTTTAGCTGCTCTACTTGTGGAAGTAAACAACGTATTTCTTCACGTGAGACAATTGATGGGTATAGTAAATATCAGCAAGAGTAACCCTTGGTATAGGCTGAACAGTCTTGTAAATCTAGGTGAGTTTTGAAACTGTCCTTCTTCTTTTTAGGACCAACTTTGTTCTCTTTTGGTCGTTACTTTTGTTTATAAAACTAAGTTGTTTTTTTTTCTCCAACATGTTACTCCTGAAAGTTTATTGGGCTTCGTCTACCTGTTTGACCTTTTAAGTTTGTTTACAAAAAGTAATATTTCTCTATTGTGTCATTGTTTTTTATTATTGGCTGAGATGTTTTTGTTTTACAAAATGTCAAATATATATTGTAGTTTAGTGTATCACCTGTGTTAACTTTTTAAGTGGATATCACAACTAATGCAATTGGAGTGATGAATGAAACAAAACACTTAAATTAAAATCATAGCAGCTCAAACATTCTTGGCTTGAAACCATATCTTTCCATGACTACTGTGGAGCAAAGTTGTAATCGAAAATGAAAACAGTGGCTTTATCAAACCATTAGACATACAATCCTTTTCTTTAGAATAATGAGAATTATTCATAAAAAGTTTAAAATATTATTGAATTGGGATACGGTTATTCTGTATACATAAAAATATATTTGTTATTAGTAGAATATTCCACAGATTAATATTCTTTAACCATTACTCAATACTTGACAAATGCTCTGAGCTACATTAAACATGGCAGGAAATAAACGAGCTACATTAAACACAGGAGGAAATAAACTGAGCTACATTAAACACAGGAGGAAATAAAACATTAAACATGGAGGAAATAAACTAGAGCTACATTAAACACAGGAGGAAATAAACTAAGCTACATTAAACATGGCAGGAAATAAACTAAGCTACATTAAACATGGCAGGAAATAAACTAAGCTAGGAGGAAATAAACAGGGCTACATTAAACACAGGAGGAAATAAACAGGGCTACATTAAACACAGGAGGAAATAAACCAGGCTACATTAAACATGGCAGGAAATAAACCGAGCAACATTAAACACAGGAGGAAATAAACCGAGCAACATTAAACACAGGAGGAAATAAACCGGGCTACATTAAACATGGGAGGAAATAAACCGAGCTACATTAAACATGGGAGGAAATAAACCGAGCAACATTAAACATGGCAGGAAATAAACTAAGCTGCATTAAACATGGCAGGAAATAAACTAAGCTACATTAAACATGGTAGGAAATAAACGTGTTTAATGTTTATCATATGAACTTCTTGTTTGTCTACATTAACCTCTCCTTTTCTTCAGCTACCTTTATTCTGTTCAGAGTGGTGACACTTGCCTGGATGACTCGTTGGCTTGTTGTACACAGAGAACTCGTGCCTCTGTATGCTTATACGTGTGGGAGTATCGGCCTTGCTGCTATTGTACTGATGAGTATTGTTCTCTTCTTTAGACTTTTAAATAGTGATTTTGGGCCCAAGCGTAACAAAGAACGAGAAGCTCACTCTAGACCAAATGAAGCACTTTCCCTAGAGTTTGCCAAAAAGAAAGATTAAATTTATGGTCTAATCCATAGTTCTACTAAGTGCACTTCCATTACTATTAATATCTCAGGTGTCAGCGTATTGTACTGATTTAAATGTTTTCACATGCATGAAAAAAATTTTTTTTAATGTGTGTGCATATATATATGTGTGTGTGTGTGTGTGCACAATAAATAATTATTTTCTATAAAATTTGTAAATATTTTTACAAAATGACTGACGGTAAATTCTGATCAATTTGAATTCCTAATGCTTGATGTATTATTTTGTTGTCAGAATATGCACAAGAGATATTACTTATACATGTTTTTATAAAACATCTATGTTGGTAATCTTAGCTAAGTTTATAATCCACTGAGCCTGAAAGCAGTAGGATCTTTCACTTATTTGATTACTCGTATGATGTTATGATGTTCGTGTGACATTCTTTACTCGAGGTAAATGTATGTTTTAATTTTGGAAAACAGTCTAAAGGCTTTCTAGTTTTTGTGTTGTACTTTAGATGTAACTAACCCATGCATCAGAAAAACACAGTTCTGTATTAACTAATAACCTTCATAGATGATGCTCCTGTATATCACCTGCAAGGTAAGACAAATTGAAAAGGCTTTGTAGGTTGGATGGAACGTAGTTTGTCATATGTGCATGCTGTTGTGCCTTTAATACCCATTTAAATGTATCTTGGAACAGTTAAATATTTTGTTTGTACGACAAACAAGTGAAGGAAAAGATTGATGTTTAGAAGTATGTTGTTTTCAGTAATTTCATACAAATTAGTGAGGTATAGGCTGTGGGCTGAAGATGAGTTTGTAGTAGTTCAATGTAAGTCGACAGTAGGGGGCCAGCACTTTACTAGAGTTTAAGAAGGGTTTCGGTGAGTCTAAGCTTTGGCCTTTGTGTTTTTTCTTGTAAGGGTGGGTATGCAAGGACAACCTTGAAGGACCAAATGGTCTTTTGTTGTTCGTATGTTATGTTAAACACAATAATCCCATACTGTATTTAGATAGATTTTTTTTTAATGAAAGTAATGTAGATCCATTGTAACAAAATTTAAGGTAATTTTATTAATCCAGAAATACTGACTCTTCAGTCTATTTTGATATATAATTTTTATTTAATGAGAAATCTTCATATGATAAATTTTAATTCAATAATATAAAGTTTGAAAAGTATTTTTACAGATAAGAGATGCTATAAATTTTGATAAATGACGAAGCCAAAATATGTGTACTTATCTATTTAAGAGTTTCATATAGAAAGGTGATTAACTCAGGAATTTACTACATTTTTTCAAAGTAATCTTGACCTTGACTTTCTTTCATCTTTAGAAATGTTCTAGTAAAACATACCTTACTGTAACTAAATATACAACCTTCTTCCATCTTTTAAAAGTTATCCAGTACAACTCAATTACATTTCTACAGTGCATAGCAGTCACGTGTAATGAGTTTCAAATGATTTGTGGATGTGAAAAATGTTATATATAAACCAAGAAATGACCGTAAATGCTAATCTCTGGGAGAAAAGTTTTTATAATGTGTCTTTAATACTTTTGTATAACCTGTAGAACATGTGTATGAATGTTTTTACTGTTATTTAGTTACTGATTTGAAGTGTTTGTGATTTAAACCTTAATTTGCTGGTGATGCTGAATGTTCTTTTGATAATAATGATGATTTTAAATACTTTCATAGAGAAGAAACTTGGTTAAATCTGTTTTCTTCAAGAAAGCTGTGTTTAAATCTAAAACATAATAACTTCAAGAAGTGTACTTTTTTTCACAAATGCAAACCCCATACATGAGGAATGAAAACATAACTTTTTTTTACTTTAAATAATCACATGTATTGTAACATGATTTAACATCAATTAGCCAGCCGTGGCAAAGTTTTAAGTGCTGCACGCCAGGAGTAATTGCAGTATAATGTAGGAAGTTTAATTCAAGCTTCAAACAGTCCATTAAAAATCTTGTGTTATAACTAGTTATTAAGTTATGAGAGATATAAAAATATATATACATATTCATGTCACATGATTTTTATTGTTTCCAAACTTCACCAGATAATATTTACCAATATTATTTAAAGGTTCTACATATAAAAAAAAAAGAAAAAAAAGAACAGTTTTGACTACATGTCAGTGAATTCTGACATGTCGGAGTTAAACTATACCATAGTGAAATCATAAGCAGTGGAAGGTAGTAATACATTTATGTGGAGCAAAATTTTAAATGGTCAGTATAATATTTTGAACAGTTTTTACCAAAGTATACGTTCAAATATACGGTGGCATCAGCAAGTTTTATGTCAGTCTTGCAAGTGCCAACTGCATATTTGAAAGTGGTTTATATTTTCGTTAAAGTAGAACAGTTTGCTATTGTGTTTCCAAAATTTCGTTGTTTTCGTTCCAACTTAATAACAATACAGCTGTGTCTGTGGCCCTGTGTTGGATAAAAGATGTATTACATGAAAGTGTATTGATGTTGGCATGTATTACATGAAAGTGTATTGAAGTTTTCAAATGTATACAGACAAAGCTGTTATAAAAAAAAAAAAAAAAAAAACCCTTCATTACAAGCATAAACTACTATTACAGTACTTTATTGTATATAAGTATGGTGGCTTTTTACGTGTTTCTTTCTCGAAGTAACTAAGTACTAAACATAACTATTATCTTAAACATTATTATATTATCACTTAGTTTTATATATATTTTTGTGGGACTATAAATACACCTTATGCTCCAAAGTCTCTGGTAACACATTTATCATATTGTGATACAGTATTACTAGAAAAACTACAATAAAAAAAAAAAATAAAAAAAATTAAATACATACAATGTTAAATGTTGTTATGCACCTTTTGTAGTAAGTAAAATCCTGGTATACTTAACCTTGTTCAATTTTTAATAAATTGGATTTTATATTTTGACCTTTAGCTCAACAGGTCTAGCTTAAAAGGAAACTTAATCCTTCTAAATCAGGGGTTCTCAAACTTTGCTAACTGGCAGACCCCCCTTCAACTTCTTTACTGTATTGGCGGGCCACTTCCCATTAAAAAATTTTTATCATATGTATATTTTACTACCTTTAATTTGGGATTTATATATATTTCTATATTAGTTCTATAATGTCTTAGCATTTTATTTGTTATTCCTTCAGTAAATGGTAATTTCATAAATTTGATGTATTACTGTGGAACCCCTTAAGAATTGGGGAGCCACGGATCACAGTTTGAGAACCTCTGTTCTGAATGCATTGTAATGTTATTTCACACAAATGACCAAATTCTCTACTTGTGTGAAGTGAGTAATGAGACAATACAAAAACAATGTAGTGACTGATCAGGCAGCTTTTGTACTGAAACAGTCAAGTCCAAGAAAAATTACTTAAGGCAAATGTATTAATTCACCTAGCTCTTTTTTCTTTTATGCTTTCCTAGCGAGAAGAAAGCACTGAGAAACAATGGTCATTTTTTTTTTCTAATAAGCATCCCATCAATAATTAAAATTTCAAAGCAGGAAGAATGTGAATATTTTTGTTTAGAAGTAGTTGTCAAACTATGTGAAATAAGGCAGTCCTTATATGTTTTGCCCATGAACTTGCCTCGGTAAAAGTGGCCAAATTTTAACTTTTATCCATTAGTAAAGAAAGCCTATTTTATGAGTGTATGCATATATTACTTTGGTTCAAGAGTACCTGAATTCAGTCTGTTTTATAACTTTAACTGTTTTCTTCATTATGCACAAATCATTATTTTTATTATGATAAAATAATTTTACTAACCTCACCAAGTTATTTTGTTCAAGATTTTATCAACATATACTTTGCTAACATTTGACTGAATTGTTAATACCAAATGTGATATTACGTATATTTTCAAGTTGGTAATAAAATATATATATTATGTACTAATGTACTAGTATGATTTGTTTAATTAAAAGTACCTTCCCAATAGAATAGGTAATGAAATTAATAATTTTTTTTTGCATAGTTTAAATGTTATATGTTAGTAACTGTTGTTATTGACAGTGTTATTGAAATGATAAAATTGTCATCTGTAATAATATTCATGTATGTTTTTATATTGTTTGGTTTTCTTTCTGTATAGCTAATCTTCACCACATCATGAAATTACCAATCTTCATTTTGTTGATGTTTACTGTGGGTACATAATCTTTATCATCTGACTGAATATTAAATTTTTATTGTATTTTTACTAGTCAAATTGAAGGGCACAGCATAGATAGCCCATAGCATAGGTTTTTGCTTAACAACAAACGAACAAACTAATTATATTTTGCCACTGTTGGACTATATACAAAATCCATCACATAACAAAAGTATTAAAATTGTACACATTTAAAAATAATACACTACATGAGGCTTTTAGCTTTAATGCATGGCTAATACCTGTTTCTAGAGTAGCTTTAATGCAATGCTTGTGCCTGTTTCTAGAGTAGCTTTAATGCAATGCTTGTGCCTGTTTCTAGAGTAGCTTTAATGCATGGCTAATTCCTGTTTCTAGAGTAGCTTTAATGCATGGCTAATACCTGTTTCTAGAGTAGCTTTAATGCATGGCTAATACCTGTTTCTAGAGTAGCTTTAATGCATGGCTAATACCTGTTTCTAGAGTAGCTTTAATGCATGGCTAATACCTGTTTCTAGAGTAGCTTTAATGCAATGCTTGTTCCTTACAGTACTGTAATTTGGGTTTTGATCTCTACGATCGATATGGTGTAGATAACCAAAATATTTAAATCTGCAATCTACAACACTTCTAGAACTCATCAGTTCCTTTTAGCAGGATTTGTTGCCTACTTTATTGAGCCTTAAAAAACCTCCATTCAACTGTTCTAAAAACTTCTTTTTATTATTTAAAACAATTTCAAGCACCAAGTTAATTAGGACAAGTGTCAGTTGTGGTCTATTGATTACTGTGCCAGATTGTGTATTAATAAATCAATTTGTCATGAAAACAGAATTGCCAGGAGGTATAAAATAATAGGTCAGATAATTGGTACAACTAGCCGATAATGAGCTCAAGCTCAGTTTTGTTATTTGGAATTCTAATATTTAATTTTCTACAGACCAGATTAACACTTTTTGAAACATGTATTGATGATTTTACCTTCAAATATTGAAAACTACCTCATAATAAAAAGCCTTAATTTATAATATTTTAACCACAAGAAAAATATTCTTGTTAAAGATTACTGAAACGATATTGTTAAAATGCAGATGTATGTAACAACTTATTGTAATGGTTAAACTTTCTATTTTTATTTCCTACATCTAATACACTTACACTGAGAGAGGGTACAAATAAACTTTTGTAATAAAACTATAAATTCATATTTTTAGTGTAGTCTTATAGAAAGAGAAATATTATATTATGCCAGTGTTTATTTTGTAAGCTTAGATTTTATGATATAGAATGTTAAATCAACAGGTCAGTGTAGGATTTGAACTAAATGTTAACATGATTAATGGAAAATATTTCTATAACCTGTTAATTTCATGTAACATACACAAGTTTGAATTAGGGTTAAAACTAGGAAACTTCGGTATAATCAGTTGATGTGTAGAAAGCTATGCTATCTGACTGAAAATTTAGAAACTAAATTTAGAAGATAAAGGAAACGTATAATAAGAAATGAATTTTGTGGTTTTGGAATTTTAAATTACCCATCCAGCAGTGAGATATTAAACACAAATTCACTCACCTACAAATATAGAATATTTTGAGTTAAATAATCCTTGCTTTAATGTTCGTACTTATTATGTATGAAAAGTAAAATGAAGGTAATGTTAGAGAAGTTAAATATATGAAATAATTCTCTTTCAGACTGTCTGCTGGTTTTGTATATCTAGTGTCTTAAAACTAAAGATCATATTTCTTGTTATTTAGTTATTTGAATACATATAGAACTATTTGAGAAACGGATAAAAAGTAAAATATATTTAAATTGGAGAATTTTAAGTAAATTCAATTATATTTTCTTGTAAACAACTTACGAGAGCCACTTATGTTTTGAGTTGGGCATGGCCTGGGGTTAGCATGCTGGAATGTGAATCCGAGAGACCATGGCTTGAACCCAGTTTCTGTTGCCACATGAAGTGTGCTCTGTACTTTGAGGTCATTGATGGATTATACGGGTGATGCTGAAATTCCATCCTTTGGTCACAAAAGAATAGACCATGTGTTGTAATTGATTGGTTGTGTTGACTACTTGCCTTAATTCCACCTTTGGTCCATCAGTTCACAATTAACTTATTAAGGGGACGTCTAGTGCAGATTGCCCTTGTGTAGCTTTGTGTGAATATCCAAAACAAAATTATTTTCAACTTTGCAAATGACATAGAAGTGTTTTTGTTTGATTATATAGATGTTAAAAATATTAATTCTGACAAAAATGAACTTGATTTGACTAGTTTATTAGTTTTTCTTACATTTTGAACGTCAAAGTAACAAAGTTTAACGTAATGGGCGCTGTTTAACTTGGAGGCCTAAGTTAAAGCATGGAGTAGGCTATGGTTAAAGCTAAGCATACGCAAAAGGATATTTAATTTAAAAATATATAAAAACTAACTGACTTTAACTAAATAATAAGGTGTTATAATACGGAAAATAGCATTATTATTGTCTAAAATATCTTGCTCAATCAGAGGGATAGAATTTTAAGTATTTTATCGTATACGTCACGTGCATACGTATTATGGTCAAAGGGAAAAAGGTTGAGTATAACTACAAGATGGAATGTGGCAACACCCCTAAAACAGTTTAAGATTTTAAAAGTAACATTTGAAACTTTTTAGGGGTGACCACCAAGCCCACAACTGGCAGCAAACGGTGAATGATAGTAGGTGTTAGGACGTTGTGGGCTAAACCAAGTAACACCTAACTCGTATCTGATCTTACGTAACAGCTATCTTGTTATTTATTAGCCTTTTTGTAGATTATGTATGGTAGATGGAACATTCCCAATGCTTATTGTATTTACTGATATATAATATAAAACAAAACACACTACAACCTTTTAACTCTTCCGTGTTTTCTACTGGTTTCGTGGTTTCAAAGGTCACTCTTCAGAATGTATAATAAAAACGGTCAAATACCACTTCAACCAAACACAAATAACACGAATTAAATACCTTTTTCAAAATGTACAAAAATAAAAATACAGACCTTGTGTATATTAAATACATTAAAATATATTCAGAAATAAAATGGTTTATCAAATATACTTTGCCATGTTTTCTATTTCTAAATTAGTATGCTTAAACAGATTTATTTTTGAGTATATTGTAATGTATTTAATTTATATAAGGATTGTATTTTGTTTGTACATTTTGAAAAACGTATTTAATACAGGTTATTTGAGTTTAGTTGAGAAGTAGTATTTGAAATTTTCTGTTATAGATTAAATGTAAAACTATATCATGGAGAGTGATAGTGACCTTTCAAGTCATGAAACCGGTAGAAAATAAAGAAGAAAAAGACGGATGAGTTTGTTTATATATATAAACTACTAGTTCTTGTTGTTGTTTTCTTAGTGCAAAGTTGCACAATGGGCGATCCGCACTTGTTCACCACGGATAATCTAACTCCGGGTTTTATCGTTGTAAGTTTATACGCTTACCGCTAACCCACCGGGGGACACCACTGGCACTAAATCTTTAACTGCATGTATGCCGAATATCGTCAGGATGAGTAGAGTTCGATACTCTGTAGGCCTCACTTTTAAATCACAAATTCTTTAAGTATACCAATATATAGTAAATAATGAGAAAACGAAAAGTTAA